AAGAATATATATTTCTCCATATGTCTGCGAGTCAGTGTGTGAGCCTGATCATTGTTGTCTAATGAACACAACATGAATTCCCACTAGAAGTCAACTAATGGGCACTTCAAGTGCCATTTGCTATGCGTGTTAAATGAGGAAGTAGACCACTTCGCTGTTGGGAAGCTCCTTTGGTGAGCAGGGAAATGCAACAAGGGGTTTTGGACCAGTCTTTCCTTAGATTACAGTCCCATAAAGGAAAAAATTATGCTATCATACTGCCCCTCTATAGGATAATTTTTACTTTCTTGGATGCAGGATTTCCTCAGCACCCATCTGAATTACAGTCCATTGTCTCTGTAACGGGTACCATCCTCTCCCCTCTGCCTAGAAATGAAAACTGGCATTTAAGACAGTGTGAGATTTCAACAATTGTGAATCATCTTTAAACATACATGGCATAGTCTATGGGGCTCTATAAGAGTGAATGCATGTGCAGGTAGAAAGAAAAGAAAAGAAACTGTGCTTTCACCAAAAACTAGGTACTCTTCCTTGAAGCCAAGATTGCCTTTTGTCCACTTTGAACAGGAAATTGAACATGAAATAATGAAGGCTTAATATTTGTGCACTGCTGGAGTGCTTCTGGGTGATTATATTTTAACAAAAGTTAATGGCCAAGTAATGGAAATAATGAGCTGAAGTGAAAATCCAATATAAGTTTGATGAGCAGAACATTCTGAATGAAAGTATGCTAGAGGAGAAAAGCCCCATGGAACATTTCATGTCTTAGTATTCTTGGAGCATATTGGTTTTAGTATTGAAATGGACATGATTGATAAAGAAACCTAAGTGGATATGTGCTGGTGATCTTTAAGAGCAACTGGGCTAAACCTGAAGATTCCTTAGAAGAAAAAGAAGAGGGGGGAAAAAAAGAATAAAAATGTCTTTTAAAAGGCTTCTTCTCTATTTTCATGAACTCCCTGGGTATACTCACTTATTTGTACATTGCCTATACTGCTGATTGTGGAAGTAATAAATACTCAGCCTGCTTGCACTGATCCTGAGCTAGGAGTAGGGAAGGTTGCTGAGAATGGCCATGCCAGGAGTAGGTGATGAGAAGTGGAGGTTTGGGGCTCTAGTGGACAAAGAATGTCTATTTAGGGACATAGATTTATGAAGAACGAAGTGATGACACTAAGGACCTAAAAGATTAATCCAAGATAATAACTTCAATCTTAACTATCCTCCTTTATTACAGAAGAAAGAAAGGGGAGTGATAAAATTTTCCAGAGCTATTGATAAAAATTGATGCCAGTATTCTATGAGTCAAATGTTCAAAAGATACCATCATCACCACCACCACTATCATCAGCAGCCCTAGTGTCACCATCAGACAACATGCTTTGAACACTTATTAAATGCCATAGACCGCCAGTGCATTTTACATGCAAAGTTTCATCCAATTCTCACAACCCAATAAGGTTACTCTTGGCTTCCAACTTCACAGATAAGGAAATAACTAAAGTAACTTATAGTCTGTAGGATTAGCCAGGCAACCAAGTCCTGATATACACTGGGTTTACTGTACCCACAATGTAAATTATAAATGCTATACACTGTAAGCAGTTATCATCATTAATATGATTTACTGTTTGAGCAGCAGTTTATATTGAAAATTCTGTCATATAAACAACTCATCCTATGATATAAATAGCAAGCAACTACAAATAACTCACAAGCTCTAATGTAATCTATTTTCTTAAATATTTTTAGATGTATCATTTAGAGCCAAATAAAATATTTTGTAAAACATAGCAGGCAACTTATTTGTTAATCAGTTTTTTCCTAAAAGTCATATTATGTTCTAATTATTATCAAATTTTAAACTTTAAGATAACAACTTATATATTTCTTTAATGAAATAGATAAACACACAAAAATGCTGTGTTTTAAAGACACTCCTCCCAAAACACAAATAAAATCTGACTCAATGAAAATTTGGCAAAAAACAAACAAACAAACAAACAAACAAACAAACAAAAAAACCACTCTGTTGATAAAACAAATTACTTAATATTAACCTTCAGTTGTTACAGCATTGTGTTTACAGTTTTGAATTAAATTGCAATTAACTCTAGATTCAAATTCTTTTTTTATATGTTTTCAGATGTTTAGATGATATTTTCCTGCAATTAAAATATTTTGTTATATTTTAATGCCATTGCTCGTAACATAATTATGTTTTAAAATGCTATATTTCTTACATTTAAATATTTCTTTAACCACTTTTCCCAAATAAAATATAGGATACTGACATTTATTCTTTCAATATTTAATTTGGAAGGAAAGTTCCAAAACTGTGACAATTGTGAAAGAAATGACAAGGCTAATTTATTTAACTTTTTATTTCCAATTGTTGTAGTTTGGATGAATAAGAAACATACAGGCTGTTCCCAAAAAGATGCATACACACTTTAAAACTGGTTGCTTAATAGATATTTCTTTCTTTTTAGGTTTAACCCATTGGAATTAATAATTATTCCAAGTGTGTATACATTTTTTGGGGTACCCCATATTTAATGTATATCACATAAATGGCAAATACACTTATTTTACAATAAACCATAATGTAAATCTGTAGTCCCAATGTAAAATATATTTGCAGTTTTCAAAGTTTTAATAGATTTCTAACATCTCCATTTATAGTATTTAAATTATGTTTGCAACTATTGTCAAATGATTGGTGAGGTTTATAATAAAGAGAAGTGATCTAAAATTTCTGTAAGGATATAAGTTGCATATGTAACTGAGATCCTATCTTAAAGAGTTTCTCATATATATATTTGACATTTTAATTTTCAGGTTGCCATTCATATTGTAGAATGTTCAGTTTTTCATACATCTATGTCTGCCTTCTTTATGAAATTCATTCTAACACACATCTATGTGTGCCTGCTTTATGAAATTCATTCTAACATTTTAATCTTAACCTCTTATTTTAAAATTTGACTGTTTAATGTGTTTTTTTAATATCTAATTAGACTGTATTCTTCCTGGAACCTGGGATTGCTAAAATGAAAGCAAATCATATAGCAGTAAAAAAAAAATTGTATTTTGGAAGTGGTCTTTTAGTTGTAAAAATGCACTATACTTCCAGAGTTGTCAAATTAAACAACTTTACAAATCTAAACACATCTCAGTAGGCAAAATGCTAAGCAAATGTGGCCAAGTCTTGTTTTCACTTGAATAAATAAAAACAAAACTATTTCAGATTCTTCGCTGACTTGCACTTTGACCCCAAATATTGACATCTGGGGAAAAAAATGAATGGTTGGAGTTTGAGGCCAGAATATTTCCCCCCCTAACCCAAAGGATTATCAGTGAGAAGAAAATCAATCAAGAAAACTGGTAAATTCACAACTTTGTTTTCAACTTCCAGGAAATAAAAAGTTTATATTTGCTTATATTTGTTGTAATAGGAAACCCATAATCTCATTCCTCTCTCAGTACACTTGCTTTGACAAAAGAGATGCCACCTAATTTTTTAAACTCACAGTGAGATGTCTATAAACAGATGATGAGGAACTTTCTATGATAAACTGGACAAGGAGTACAGCCACCCACAAATAAGCATTTCCAATGGGATGGCTTACACTAATATGGCATATATTAATATATACACATACATATATTGGTGATATAAAATATTTCAATACATTCAGAAAAAAATGATACCAAGCAATGTAAATTATTTGTTTTTATAATATTTTTTCTTCTGTCTCAATAAGATTTGTGCCAGGTTTTAAAATATATTTCTATAAGCAGAAACCCTCAAAATTCAATTCCTTCATATGTAATACCACAACATGCAACACAGATCTTGCAGTTTGTGATTCTGCCCACCACCTGGCCCCCTACTCCAAGTTAAAAGATAAATTCCCTTTCAAAATGAGATGCCCAATGATGCTACCCCTATCAATCTCTGATGATACCCTTCCCAGGCAGCATAGATCCTTAGGCCCAAACTGAATTTAGTTTTTCCACCAATTAGCTCATCAGACACAGGCAATTTAAATCAGTATTTCTCCAACTTGAATGGCAAACAAAAACATTTTTTAATAACTTCACATATTCCAAAATTACTTTAAGAATTATTCAAATGGACCCCTAATAATGACTTAAATTATTTAATTATATGATTACTTAGACCCAAACATAAAACCAGTTTTAAATTCCATCATTACAGATCAAATAAAAAATAAACTTTAAAGCAACATGATCAAGTCTATTTTAATACGTTGGAGGTTATTATTTTGTCAAAGCTGTCACCATTCACAACATCAATATGACAATAATTGGGAGAGCATGGGACTTTTGATATTGGCATAGACAGTGATGGGATGATTTGATTCTCTCATCTGTTTTATATTTGTACCTCTCTAATGCCCTTATGGTTTACTTACCAAAGACAAATCTTTACACATTACATATTACTCTGCACATTTCTCAATTGCCTGTGGTTACTGAAAAATCCTGTACTATTTTGTATCAACATTACAGAAAATCATAAGAAAGGCAAATAGGCCCACATTTTAATTGGAAATGCTCCATCATAAAGTAATTATCCTAAAGATCCAGAATGTGTTTATGTTATTTTTAATGTTAAAATTGAAATGAGAACATAATCTCTAAAAATTATCCTAAATAACTTGGGTATCCCCAATTCTGCAGACCCAAAATGAAAACTTAAAAATAACTCACTTAACACAAGTGTTTGCTTTCTTCATAACCTGGTGAAGTTCTCAATTGGTGCTGAAACACCACAGAGGTAAAGTCAGCTCACCATATTGAAGTAGACCTTTGGGTTCTTTTTAATCACTATATAGCAAAACCATATTTCAATCTAGTCAGGAAAATATGATTCATAAGTACTGTAAGACTCTTGTAGACTTCGTGTATATCATCAACAACTTCAAAAAAGTTTGACATTAAAAATTTGGATTATGAAATATACTTCTAACCTTTTATTCTCCCTAATTGCTTTGTCTCCCTTCTTCCAAGAGATGGTTGGTTTTGGAGAGCCTTGGGGTTTGCACTCTATGACGACTTCCCGGCCTTTGGTAACAATTATTGTTTTCTTTGGCTGATTCAGTGCAAACGTGGGAGCTGAAGCTAATAAAAAAATGTTAGTTCTACCAGAAGCAATGACAATAATCTCAAATGTATGATACATCAATATTTTGCAACTTTTTCTCCTGGGCTACATTTCTAATCAAATCATACAATATTTACACAGACAGAAAGCATTAATTTAAAATTTATTAATTAATAGCTATTTTATTGGTTGTTCTTTCCATTAGTATGTGATGGTTTCATAAAATGTGAATCCAGAGACAGAGGCTGTTTTTTTTAAAAAAAAAAACAAAAAAAAACGACAAGCTTTAATTATGGTTATCAACTTTAATTGCAAAAGACTAATGAGCACCTTGGGCAAGAGGTCAGGGGTCAGCAAATAAAGTCTATTTTGGGCTTCCTCCGGAAAAATGGAGGTCCCCTGTGGAGAAGACAATTTTGTCATCCATTTCCTATGTGTGAGTCTTAACTAAAGCATATTTTGCTTCAATGTTATACACAATTGAATGAAGTTTTTAAGAAATGGAAATACATTTTTAAGAAATGGAATAATTTAAGTTTTAATCAAAAGTTCTATTTCACTATTCACCTAGGTCTGCTCATTCATTAATATTATTTTTATTGGATTTTTATCAAGACACTTTAGATTACAGTTAACTCCATTGTGCAGCTGTGGTTGAAGAATACATGACACAGAGATCAGAACAATTTTTTTAAAGCACTTGAATCTAAAGAAAACCTGAAAATATATACCTACAAGTCTACTGTATCTGAGATATTTATTGTACCAGTATGACAATTTTGTGATAATTTCACAAGCATTTTATGTCCATCACATAGCAATATAATGCATGTCACAACATTAAAATATGTACACAATATAAAAAAGATGTATATGCAATTGAGAGGGTTAAGAAATTGAAAGAAAAGTGAAGGCTATTACAGGGGAATCACAGGCAACATTTTTGATTGCCTACTGAAAACAGAAATTACAAAAAGTAATTTTGAAAATATGTCTAGTGACTAAGTGTTTCTGAATAAAAGACTAACAGAATGAAGGTTGAATCAGCTTTCTAACTAAGAAATGGAGTGTAAGCTGCAAAGAAAAGTACATTAACATCTTATTGATCAGTCTTAGGGGACTAAAATATAAATTCATATCTATAATATGTTAGTTATAATGTCAAAAAATTTAAGTTTAGGCATTCATAATTTAATAAGTTGACTTATGGTGTATTACATTTAGCTAATTTATTAATGGTAAGTTCCCAGATTCCTGAGATCTTGGGTGTTTCTGTTAATGTCATGCTTTGGAAATGTAAGTGGAGAACAGAAAGAGCACTGCGGCTTCTGATCACTTTTGAGAGGCAGTGAATTGAGATCCCCTAACTATCTCCCTTTGTATTATAAACATCCCAGAAACAAAGTTTAAAATCATCAGAGTGGGAAAAATTAAATCCATTCCAGCAGCCCAACTATGCTCAATCGTGGTAGCTTATTCCATGTTTTTTATCTTTCCTGTAGTAAATAGTGAAACAGTATTTCTGCCCTGGTTACATTCTTATCAAAGGTGCAACCCTATGAAACAGCTGCGCCTGGCCTCAGGAAGGCTTTCCATTCTGTGTAAGGATGGACATGGTGATGCCACAGGAGGAGAGGTGCTTTACTCTGGAGTCCCGCCTACTGGGAGGTAAGAGCCTCTCAGAAAAGTCTTAAGCATTGCGAAGGGGGGCAGGGAGAGGCCGCTTGAAGTCTACATTCTGGTTCCCATTCCCCAAGATATCCTTCCTTAAAAGTTAACATATGTTTCTAGTGAGTTCTTTAATGCCATGGAAAACATGTATTGTGTAACCCTGTTATGATTAAAATAAAAGTTATGGCACACACTGTACCCAATGTAAACTTGTCCCCTGAAGCTTAAAAAAGTATATTAGCAAGACATAGTATTTTTTTTTTCAATCCAAAAAATAGGCTTTTGCAATCACATCATAAAACTTTGGTAAAGTGAGAATTAGAGCAAGGAAAGAAGCCACACTTTCCCCCACTGATTTATTTAGAAATTGCATACCTAGAATTTTCAGCTCAGCACTTGCATAAATGGCTCCATATTTATTTTCAGCCAAACACTGATACATTCCAGCATCTGACTGATTCACACTGTGGATCATCAGTACTCCATTAACCATCTCAACCTTACTCTGTAATGGAATAAAAATATTAAAAAGTGAACAAATCATGCAGATTCTGCAAGTTACCATCTGCCAGACCAAGAAAAAAAGGTAGCCTGCAATTAATGCAATTGAATTTTTTTTAACAACATAGAAACACGATTTAATGTTCCTTATTGTATTATAAGGCCTCATGTAAATTATAACTACTTCTTAAGAAATAAGTTATAACTATATTTTTCTGTATTTATTCTTTCGAGTTTTATTTTTAGTTTTGTTTTTAAGTGGAGCGGCTTTTGTTTGGTATACCAGCTGAGCTTGTGAAGAACAACCTTCAGAGAAAGCTTTTATTTGAATTCATTTAATAAAGGAGAAGCGGGGGTTCACATGGCAGAAAGAATTGAGGCTATTGATACACAGAATCAAGGTTAAATATAGCTAAGGTCATAACAAAGACGCCTTTCCTATATTGATCTGGTCGGGAGTTTGCCTTTTCTCTCACTTTCCACTAAAATAACACAAATAAAAGAAGTTCCAGGACTAGATTCTGTATAAAACGGTTGATAAAAAATATAAACTTCTAATCAGAAGAAACAATACAGAAGTCAGAAAATTGATCATGTGCAAATTGAAGTAAATTGACTCTCTATCCAAGAGGCCAAGAGCACATTTAAAAATGAAATTTAAATGTGAAACAACCAGGTGTCTTGTCTACTTAATACCATGCAGATCATTTAAAAAAATATTAGTGACCAGTGCTTTATCAACAGAGATGCCAAGTAGCTTCACATCATTTTCAGAATAAACCCATTCGCTTTGCAAACGGATCATCTGCCAGTGGAGCTGATGGCATTGACTTTACTTGGATGCTGGCAGTAGGAAACATGACCAGCACAGCTCCTTCTCAAAGTGTATCTGGAATCCATGGGAGAATTAGAGAGAAACAGGCAGTGAGTCAGTGCCTCAGATTGCCAGGCTCTCACTCTCAGTTTTGTTTCATTTTTAAACAGTTCTATAGTTCTTTTTAACAGCTCTACTTGTCTATCCTTTTATGTAATTACATTTGCTTTGGCCTAACTGGCTTTAGAATAAGGGAATGTTGGAGCTGGCTGAGACTGAAGGGATGATCTGATCTAATCTCTTCATTTTACAAAGCAGCAAACTGAAGTCCAAATGGGTAAGTGACAGGCAAGAGGCCCCGGAGCAGAACCTGTGCTCAGGATTTCAATGTTATACACATCCCTCCAAAAGCCAAAAGGGAGAGAGTTCGCTAAAATTATTACTATTATTCTGAAATTAAATAGTAACGGGTTTATTTTCAAATTTTGTACATATTAAGTTGTTTTTACAAACATGCAGATTTCCTAAAGGGGTATTTAAATGTATGGGTAGCAGGATGCCACAGTAAGAACCTGCCCAGGACACAGAATACAGGGGGGTTCTATTCCAGTCTCCCTTACTAGGTATATGGTCTTGGGCAGGCCACTTTACTTCCTGGGTTGTCTCCGTCATCTGCAAAGCAATAGCAACAAGCTAGATGGTGTCTTAAAGTCAGCTAGAAATGGCAATGAGTCTATGATAAGCATTCATCATTTCCTAAGAATTTATAGGATTTAATACAATTTTAAAAAAACAATGCATTACTTAAAAAAAAAAAAACTAATGTAATTAAAATAAAAATTGTCTCCCTATTCGGGTAGCTCATTGGGTTACAGAGGCATCCAGAAATGCCAAGGTTACCGGTTTGATCTCTGGTCAGTGCGCATATTAGAAGCAACCAATGAATGCATACATAAGTGAAACAACAAATCTCTCTCTCTCCCTTTCTCTCTTTCTCTCAAAAATAAATAAAATAAATAAATAAATAGCCCAGATGGTGTGACTCCTTGATTAAGCATGGACTCAGGAACCAAGAGATCCATTCCCAGTCAGGGGGGGGTCAGGGCACATGCTGGTTCCATTCCCAGTCAGGGGGGGTCAGGGCACATGCCTGGGTTGTGGGCTCCATTCCCAAAGAAAGGGCATGCAGGAGGCAGCCAATTAATGATTCTCTCTCATCATCGATGTGTATTGGTCTCTCCCTCTCCCTTCTCCTCTGAAATCAATAAAAATATATTTTTAAAAAAATTAATAAATAAAAACAAAAATTGTTTATATATGTGTGGTATTTCTCACTCCAAATAGATTATAAAGCATAAGAAAGAAATGGATTTCGATAAGAAGGAAAGAAGATTGTCCTATTTGTAATCTCACTTGCCGGGACTGGTTTGGCTCAATGGATAGAGCATCGGCTTAGGGACTGAAGGGTCCCGGGTTCGATTCCGGTCAAGGGCATGTACCTTGGTTGCAGGCATATCCCCAGTAGGGGGTGTGCAAGAGGCAGCTGATTAATGACTCTCTTTCATCAATGTTTCTAACTCTGTATCTCTCTCCCTTCCTCTCTGTAAAAAAAAACAATAAAATATATATTAAAAAAAAAAGTCAATAGTCATGAAAAGTACCTGAGGTGAGAGGGGCACTCCGTTCTTCAGCCAGCGGTACGTGGGCCTGGGTTTCCCTGTGGCCTTGCACTCCCAGCGGAGAGGGCTCCCGCTGTCTAACTGAGTATCATTGAGCTTTTCTACCCAGTGTGGGTAAGCTGTGAGAATTTAAGCAATAGAAGAGGGTTTTATGTTTTCAAACACTTAACCGAGTTCACCATTCCTACAAATGTTTTAATTGCATTACAAAGTTTTATCAATTCATGTAACTACAAGTATTTGGAAGAAGCACAGCATTCTATTACACACAGAACTCTCATTTCTTGTGTGAATATAAAAATGGAATATATATGTATATATACGTATACATATATACATATATATATACATACATGTGTATATAGAGCAGTGATGATATTTTGATCATTGAAAGCTAAGTTTATCTTTTTTTTGACATTTCTCTTAGAATATATATGTATATCAATGTATATTAATCTACTTTTATTGCTGATAGTATTACAGATGGATCATTGTTTTATCCACAGCAAAACAGTGGCTAAATTCTCCGTAAGGTGCCAGAATCTGATTAGCAGGAAGGCAGGGACTTAACTATTGGGGCCGCCATAGCACAGGTTGAAGTAATGCAACATGCCCATTTACTGAGTGGTCTGCTGGGTTATTTTCCTCCCCTAATAGAACCTGCATGGCTTCAGAAAGTTAATTTGCAAATTCAAATTTTAGTTGCTGTACATATTTTATATACTTATTAGCATTCTTCCCATATATTATAGATACTAAAGTTTTCAAATTTGCAACAGAGAAAAATTCCTTTATCAGGAAAGAGAGAGACTGTGGTTTAAAAAGGTGAGGAACAGAGAATCAGCACAGGGACCTGCAGGGAGAGGCTCTGGCCTGTGGATGGCTTGCCTGCACCCAACCCAATGCTTGGCTCCCCGCTGGGCTGCTGACTTAAAGAGGTCCAAAAAGTAGCTGGGCTCTGACTTGGCCAAGAAGATGCCCATGAAGGGTTAAAGGGCAGGTCTACACCTGCTTTCAGGCGGACCCCAGGTCAAGTGGGAGTGATGTCCAATAAATATTTGAAGAGGAAAGGAAATCAGAAATTCTTTTCTTTTTGCAATTCAATTCTGGGTGTAGCGATCCCACATGGGAATCGGGGCTGAGGAAGGACAGGGCCCAGGATTTGTAGTGCCGGGTAAGTAACTATGGGGCTTGAAGAGACTACTTTTAGGAGCTAAGGGAAGAAGTGTCCCCAGCTGCAACTTTTGGATTCCGTGGCCAAGTTTCCAGGAGTTGTTTTCATCATAGTTCTCTAAAGAATCGGATGCAGGGAAAGCTAGCTGGGTCTCCCCAGGCTGTGGGGAGTCTGTCCTTGATACATGTTAGTAGGTAGCAGGCACTGGAACACTAAGGATGATGTAATCCTGACAATATGCCCAAATGCGTTTGTTAAGGAACCTGGGGCACCACCACACCATGTGCCCTGTTGAGCTGCCTAGTGTAGAGGATGCTAACTTTTTTATGAAAGCTAGGGACTAACAGAGATGGTCCTTTCTTTAACATAGAAGCTAATTTTTATAAGTAAGTAATAAAGAAAAAATAAATAAATAGCCATTTACTATTTATCACCTCCTCTACCTACTTTTTCCAGTTTTGGCAAGTTCAAGAATGTGTCCTGTACAGAGGAAGCAATTTTTTGCCTTGTCTCTCTGACTTCCACCTTCCCATGTTACTTTGTTGAAGATCTTTATAGCATTACCAGAGGCCCAGTGCACGAATTTGTGCACAGGTGGGGTCCCTCTGCCTGGCCAGAATCTGCCAATTAGGGCCATTTCACCCAGTCCTGATTAGGGCCAATCGGGGTTGGTGGTTGGGGAGGGACCAAAGGAGGGACCGAAGGAGGGCACCAGGGCATGTCTGATGCTGTCTCCTCCAGTCTTGATTGGTCAGACCCCAGCAGCAAGCTAACCTACCGGTCAGAGCATCTGCCCCCTGATGGTCAGTGCTGCTCATCATGGCAACTGGTCAACTGCTCAGTCAGACACTTAGCATATTAGGCTTTTATATATATAGATGAGTCAGCATAGGTTGCTTGCTTTCACTGCTCTAAGACTTAATATATAGTCATTATCTAAACAAAAATTGCTATGCTTAATAATTCCTTAGAAATAAAACAAAAGAATTGTGCCATAGCCATTTACACAGACTTGTTTTTTAGATTAGGATTTAATACGCTTTTCATTATGATTTTGTCATATACAGGAGTGGGAAAAAGCAGGTTTATAGCTGTGAGTACCCCAAACAGAGTTTCTTCTTCTGTTATTATTTATTAGTGATTGTATTATTTTCAATGTAAACAACTTTATTTGCTTTATTAGAGGCCCAGTGCATGGATTCATGCATAGCCTGGCCAGCCAGGGGTTGGAAGTTGGGGGTTTGGGGGAGGAACCACAGGAGGTAGGCTGTGGGAGCACATTGATCACCAGGGGGCAGCTCCTGCACTGAGCATCTGCCCCCTGGTGGCCAGTGTGCATCATAGCTACTGGCCAGTTGTCAGGTTTCCATTCATAAAGGTTGCTTAGGCTATATACATATATTTACTGCAACATAACTATCTGCAAACTAAATGTGGAAGAACATTCAAGGTAAAAATGAAGCCTTGGAATGAAAGACTAATTACACTGAGCTCAGCTTTGTGAAGCATGCTTCCTTAGTTTGTTTATCCTTCATTGTGTTTCTTAGAAATCTTGAGTCTGACCCTAATCAAATTAACCTACTTAACTCTCAATGTACATATTTGTAGAAACCACATCCTGAAACTGACTTCTGCCTCAACAGAAATGCATTATTATTTTTCTGGAAATAAATGGATACTTAAGAACTTATGTGGGTACATCTTGAAATGTCTGCTCTTTTTACATTATTGACTCTTGTACTTAACCTCAGCCTCCAATGCCACTGTACTTCCTTGCTACTTAATATATTGAATTATGGCATGAAAGTATTGCTTGATCCCTGTGTCTTTTCCTGTGCATATCATGTAGTGGGTATGTTCATATATATCATTTTATGAAATCAACATATAAGTCACATATTGGATAGTTGTAAAAATACACTTTATAACTTAAAAAAAGAAATAAGACAAGGTTGTAATTGTATGAAAATTTTAAGATATAATAGTAAAGTGTCTTTCTTCCATTGTTTGATTTTTAAAATAAAACTAGGGGGTGGGGGCGCAAAGTGACTTTTTGTTCACAAATATTCTATTTGAAACAATTGAATGAATAAATATAAAAATAGTTATTATTTCTCCCTAGCAACTTTTTTTTGGCATTAACTTATAAAATATTTACTTAGTGCTAGTGAGGACTTTGATCATTGATTCACTCATCTCATATTATTCAGTTCTTGCTCACTCTTGGAGGTTATGAGGGATGCAGGACACCTATTTCCTATATTTAAGAAGTTTATACTGTGGTAGAGGAGGTGTAAAATCAATGACACAGGAAAGGACAGTATAAGAAATGAAACAAGATGTGCTGATGGAAACTGCACATGGATATCAGAATATTGGGTCTAAAAAGGACAACAGATGTCCAAGACCTAAGCCAGTTGAAAAAGGAGGGGAAAAAGCAAGGATGAACTCTCATTTATTAAATGCTAGTCCTAGACACACGGAGCTCAACGATCAATTAACGCTTGCAATATTGATCCCCAAAATAAATATATTTCATTTTATTAATCGGGAAAGTTTGGCTCAGAGAAGTTAAAGAAATTTTTTTTAAAATATATATATTTTATTGATTTTCCACAGAGAGGAAGGGAGAGAGATAGAGAGCTAGAAATGTCGATGAGAGAGAAACTACGACCAGCTGCCTCTTGCACACCCCCTACTGGGGATGTGCCTGCAACCAATGTACATGCCCTTGACCAGAATCGAACCTGGGACCTTTCAGGCCGCAGACCGACGCTCTACCACTGAGCCAAACCGGTTTCGGCAGAAGTTAAAGAAATTTATCTAAAGTCCCACAGTAAGAGACAGTAACTACTTTCAAAGTCAGACCTTTCTAACTTTAGGGAGTATATTTCTTCATTCCCATTTTTAAATATTAAAAAATGAATTGATGGGTTATGCATATAAATTCCTCCTTTAATAAACCATAGACTCAGACAATAGAGTGGTGAAGGTATGGAGTGGAGAGGGAAAAATGCAAACAAAGGGGATATCAGTGATACTTTCAACAATAAAGGTAAAAAAATAAAATGAAATAAAAATGAGTTGAAAGCATATGCTGTATACCTAGGGTGTTTACTTTCAAACCTGTCTCTAAATGGAAATTTTGTCTTTAGTAGCTCATTGGTCTTCCAGCCCATATAGCCTGGCCGTTAAGGAGTCTGGCCTTGGCAGAGTTAGGATTTGTAGGCCTTTGAATCTATTCTGTGATTCAACTTCAAGCCTAGAAGTTTTCACTCAACAACCTACCCTAATGGGCTTCAAATATTGGTTCTGATTTTTTTGTGCCTGGCTTCCAAAATCAATCTCTTTGTAGTCATGTGCAAAACATAGAAATGGTCAGATGCAAAAGCAACCTTAAACTCTGCTTTTTCATTTGGACTTTATATAAACTGTCCTACTCTGCTTAGCCAGACAACTTCATAACTAAACATGTACCCTATAATCCAAGGAGACAAGTTTGTTTCATCTTCTTCAGATTGTTCAATCCACATGGAATATTTTACTTCTCTGTTTCTTTTAATTCTACCCATAATTCAAGATTTTGTACAAGTACTATAAGGACTATTAATCCTAACCTTAAAGGGAAGTGATTGCTCCCTCTCTGGACACCTACAGTTCTTACTCACTTGGAAAATAATCACATAGTCACATATTACCTCTCTTCTGTTGCTTAATTAAACTTGTTGAATATTTTAGTTATGGTTTGACATCCCTGCTAGATAGTAAGATCATCAAGAAAAGAGTTGACGTGATATAGATGTTTACTTTAGATACAGCACTGACCCACACATGATGGCTGATTACAGGACATTGATTGTAACTGATATGTGACTTAATGCACATATGCAACCAGTGCTGGGATGTCCAGTTTGTGGGAGTGAAAAAGAAATTTAAAAAATTCTT